ATTACAGAAATAAATGTTTTGAAATTTAGATTTTAAATAATTTTATTTGACAGAAATTAATTAGTGTAAAAAAAAAAACTCTTAAAAAAGTCCATCATCTAGAAATAATGGGTTTGGGCTAAAATTCAGAAAAGTGTAGCCTTAAGAGGAAGCCTCTTTTGTCGGCTTTTGATCTCAGCTGATTCTTCAAAACTAAGCTCCGCTGAATTTTCTTTGTTCCATTTCCGTCTTCTCTCGCCTTCACCCAGTTTAGGGTTCACAAGTTGATTCGGATCGAGAACACCGAGAAGAAGAAGCCAGTCAATCATGTCTAGGCAAGTCGCAAGGCTTATCGGATCTCTATCATCAAAAGCTCGCCGTTGTTCTACCGGCGGCTCGGAGGTTTTTCCGTCATGCCAGTCTCTCACTTCGTTGACCCAATCTCGCTCCTTCGCGTCGGATCCTCATCCTCCTGCGGCGGTTTTCGTTGACAAAAACACACGAGTCCTCTGTCAAGGCATCACCGGAAAGAACGGCACTTTCCACACTGAACAAGCCATTGAGTACGGCACCAAAATGGTAAATCCTGATTCTTTTTTATGTTCTCCAAATTGGGTATTTCTTCATTGTTCCGATTGCATTGGTTTATGGTTGTTCTAGTGATTTTGGTGTCCGCTCTATTTTGTTATTCTTGAAGTTTGGATTGTGTATTTCTCCATTGTGCTACATTTACAGAATTACATTGATTAGGGGTATTCTCTGTTTTAGCTAGATAGGCTTCAAGTGTTATTCAACTGTCTAGGTTAGGAGTTGCGAATTCTCTGACTTCTTATACCATGAAAACACTAGTCTTTGCTATGTCATCACCTAAATTCCATTTGATCTTGGAGATGAAATGGGTTTCTAATTTTCTGTGTTTGTTGATGATTGCTTTAAAACCAAGTGATTTTGCTGATATAGCTCGTCTGTGTTTGTATTCTGTAATAGGTAGCAGGTGTGACACCGAAGAAGGGTGGAACAGAACACTTAGGTCTCCCTGTTTTCAACTCTGTTGCTGAAGCTAAGGCTGACACCAAAGCCAATGCCTCTGTGATTTATGTTCCTGCACCTTTTGCTGCTGCTGCTATTATGGAGGGTATTGAGGCTGAGTTAGATCTTATTGTGTGTATTACCGAAGGAATCCCTCAACATGACATGGTACATATTATCATCATCATCATGCCTTTGATTTTGTTTGCTATATCTCTCTCCTTCAGTGCTTATTACATAGGATTGCATACTCATGTAATTATCTCTTGTGCTTCTCTCTTTGACTTGAAACTTGTGCTGTTTTTGATTTAGGTACGTGTAAAGCATGCTCTTAACAGTCAATCGAAAACTAGGCTGATTGGTCCAAACTGCCCTGGGATTATCAAACCTGGTGAATGCAAGATTGGAATTATGCCGGGATACATCCACAAGCCTGGGAAGATCGGAATTGTCTCGCGATCTGGAACCTTGACATATGAAGCTGTAAGGTCTTTTTTGCGTTTGATATTTGTTCTCTGTCTCCATCTCTCCCAAGTTTTATTTCACCAAAGTCTTTAGCCTGGGCAAAATCTTAGAATTTTTTTGGATTCTAGTCTAATATTCCCTCCAAAGGTTAGATTGAACATGATTCTTTTTTTTCACTAATGGAGATTTTGAAAATTTATATAAACTGGTTTTTGTTGGTTCTGGATTTTGATAGAAAGCCTTATTTTTCTGACGATTTCTAAACCTTGTTTTCGTTTTGACCTAAATGCAGGTTTTCCAAACAACTGCAGTGGGTCTAGGCCAATCTACTTGTGTAGGAATTGGTGGGGATCCTTTTAACGGGACAAACTTTGTCGACTGCTTGGAGAAATTCTTTGTTGATCCTCAAACAGAAGGTAAGGTTTTCAAACTCGAGTTATCTAACCTTAACTTAATTGTGTTTCACTGTTTTCCGAAATCATTTTTTTCCACTAGATAGATTAACTTTAAAGATCATTTAGTAGAACGACCACATGCTTACCTAATCTCTTTAGGCTGCAAAATTCTTGTTTTAGAATGCTTTGATTCCGTTAGGTCCTCTCTTTTCTTAATGTAGTTAGTAGCGCAACTGAAATATTAAGAAACAACTGGCTGTTTCAGGTATCGTTCTCATAGGAGAAATCGGAGGCACTGCTGAAGAAGATGCTGCAGCATTGATAAAGGTAATAATACCACTTGAGAATCTCTTTTAACTTGGTCCATCTCTCTCTATTCTTAAAAGTAAAATTCAATTTTTTCGTATGGTGAATGTAAACAGGCAAGTGGTACTGAGAAGCCTGTTGTTGCTTTTATTGCCGGACTTACGGCACCACCGGGTCGTCGAATGGGTCATGCAGGAGGTATTTTCATAAGCTATCTAATACCTAAACCGGATTTACTACTTGTGGTCTGCTGCTCTCACTTACTCTCTGGTTTTTGTCTGTTGCAGCCATTGTTTCTGGTGGTAAAGGTACGGCTCAGGACAAAATTAAGAGTTTGAATGATGCCGGGGTGAAGGTTGTTGAATCTCCGGCTAAGATTGGAGCAGCGATGTATGAGCTCTTTCAAGAAAGAGGTCTTTTGAAGCAGTGAAGTGAATTTCACGAGCTTTTTCGCTTCTTTTTTTCCATTTTGAAACCTTCAAGAAAAAAGGAAAAAAAAAACCCTAATTCCACGCCATTGATGGCTGCACACTCTTTTGGGGTTTGTTTTGCTAAATTGATATGATTTTTCCAATTGAAGAGTGATAATTCAAAGAGATTCAATTCTTATTGCATTGGATCATTTTTAATGATATCTTCCAGTACAAGAAATATGAGGGAAGCAATGTTTCTTTATACATCATTATATCTTTTACTAGCACCCAAATAATGAGAAGTAGATTATTTGGACACAGCTAAAAGTTGGGTTATATCGCCAACTGCACAACCAGCAGAATTGTTCTACTCTAACGCTTTGAAGTTTGATCCCGTAACCTAATTTTGTTAAAGCTTCATGATTTTATCAAAGAAAATAAATATGAAAACGTTGTTTTTTTGTCAAGAACAAAAACAATGACACTCTTCACTATCATCATAATCAACATCGAGATTCATCCCAGTTCCAATCAGCTGTAACACTGCATAGATCTTGTCGGAGTGAAAATGTGTTTGGTCATGAGCTATGAATCTGTGTGATGTTCCATTCAATTTAATTATACTGTGACCTGCAATTTTCTTCACTCCTTTCTTCTCCATTGCCTCTCTCATAGACCGAGCTGCTCCAAACTGCTTGTTTATCGCATAAACGTTTGCAAGCCCAACATATCGTCCATCATTATGTGGTTGTAACTCTATAAGCTTCTTTCCAACTGTTTCCGCAAGCTCCAAGTTTCCATGATTTATACACCCGTTAAACAAAGCACCCAACACTGAACCCGTCGGTTTTATCAGCATTTCAGATATAAAATCATGAGCATCTTTAACTAGCCCAGCTCGGGAAAGCACATCGACCATACAAGCATAATGCTCGCTCTTTGGTTCTGCTCCGCTTTCCTTGAGACTTGTGAAGAAATGCCACGCTTCTTTCACTAATCCCCCATGGGAACAAGCAGCAAGCAGGCACAAGAATGTTATCTCGTCCGGGTCAATCTCGGATTCTCGCATTTTGTGAAACAGTAGGAGCGACTCTCTTATGAAACCATGACTCGCAAGCCCACCAATCATAGCATTCCACATCAATGCATCCGTTTTCTTAACGGATGCTCCACAAAAAACTCCCCAAGCGTCTCCTATCGACCCGCATTTAGCATACATATCAATAAGAGATGTCTGCAATATAACTGTTAAGGGCAAATGCACATCGAGTATATAGCGATGTACCACCTTCCCTCGATTTAGCTCACCCAAGTGAGCACAAGCGCACAAAACGCTAACCATAGTGACTTCGTTTGCCTTTGATGAACCCATTCTCATCATCTGATCAAAAATTTCCAATGCTTCATTATATTCACCACTTTTTACATACCCATCGATCATAGAACTCCAAGTCACAACATCTCTCATAGTCATTTCATCAAACACCAATCTTGCCGAAACAACATCCCCGGACTTCGCATAGGAATCCAAAATAGAGTTCCAAGTAACCAAGTTCTTATAAGGCATTTCATCGAACAACTTGCGCGCAGAAGCTTTGTCTCGGAACGAACCATACATATGAATAAGAGTATTAGATATGAACAAATCCCACTCAAGCCCAGTTTTAACCACGGAGCAATGCAAAGACCCACCAATTTCTCTGTTCGAGAGACGAGAACTTGACTTCAAAAGAAACGGATAAGTCATATGATCAGGTGAAAACCCGGACCTCAAAATCTGGATATAGACACGAATCGATTTCTCGGGGTTTTTGCTATTGGAGAAACCTCGTATGACGAAATTCCAGCCGTAATCAGGAGGATTAGATAGTTTCGACAATAACTTGTAAGCGTAATTGACGTCGCCTGATGAAGACAGAGCAGAGAAAGACAGAGTTTTAGAAGTAAAAGGTTCTTCCTTGGAGAGACCAAGTGTGATCAGGAGGGCGTGTATTTTGTACAGCTCCGACATTGATTTGCATTGGTGACGCAGAATCGAGTTAACGACGAGAGACGATGATGATTTCAACATTCACCTCTTTATACTTACAATGGCTTTAAGAATTCCAACATTTCAATTTCTAGTTTTGATTGAAGCGGTTTATTTGAAGTTTTTTAACTAACGATATGAAAAACAATTGTTGATCAACCCCTGAAGTTTTTGCCTTCGGACAAACCAACCATGCTTTTTTTGTTTTGTTTTTTATTCTAATGAACCCCAATGTTTTAATTGGAACACAACATACCCCTTTTTTTAATTATTGGGTTATTATTATTTGGTCTGCAAAAATAAATACAAGGTTTCATTTGTAGCTCTCTCTCTTTTCTTTGATCTTCATCAGATATACAAGTTACTCAGAAAAGAATAGAAAAATTTACAAAGAAATTTTTTTATTAACAGACAAATACAGAGAATGGTGGATTCCGAGTTATTTTCTACAATGGTTGGATGACTGAAAGAGATTTAGTATGAAATTTAACAAAACTAAACAGACAAAGCGCAAAGCTAACCTCCGGATTCCATTGACAAAAAGCTTTTTTACTGCTTTATCCAGCTGGCTAATCCTGGCATGCATCTCAGGTCAATATCTTGAATTTCATCTGCAATTTGGATCCAAATGCAACTATATGAGCTTGAACATTGCGGTGGGCAGAACTATGAGTAACTCGTTGAGAACAGGTGTTGAATATCAGAAGTTTCTGCAACAGGTTTGTTTAAATCATAGCTTAAAGAGCCAATGAAGTACTACTGATCCAGATATACGGAACCTCTGCGTATAGTCTCATCAAGAATAACTCGCGAAACCTGGTTACCAGTAATTGTAACATCAACATTAGCTTTTCTATTGATGATCCAAACATATCCATGGAAACTATCTCTTAGTCTTTTTCAGATGTATGTGGAAGACAAAAGAAAATATTGGTCCCGGGAAGATACCTTGTAAGGAGCTGGGTCCATGGCATCATACCAAGATAAGCAACAAGGAGCTACCTTCTTATGGGTTTCAAAACTGAGCTTTTACCAAATCATTAGATGAAAAGCTCTGCAACCAATTTTGGTAAGTATCCCCTGTTTCAATTAGAAGTGTTTGCCTCATTTTCTACTCACAACAGCTAGAATTGGAATTCTGCCGTCTTTTATTAGACAAGTAAGATAGCATGACGTCCTAGAGTCTTCCACAAACTTACTTGTAGCATCAACTGCAAGCAGATAGTTCCTATCTACTGAAACCGGAAATCTTCCTTTATGAACCATTTCTCTGAATATCCCAAACCCGGCACTGATGTTTTCACTTGACAGAAAAGAGCTTACGAGGGATAAGTAAACAGCTGAATCAGGCTCCATTTCCTTTTCTTCCATCTCACGAAAATAAACTAAGGCTTCACTAGACCAGCCACAGTTGCAAAGACCCTGAATAAGTGCCATGAAAGTAATTCTATTTGGATAGCAATCTTTGCCCTTCATTTCATTCCAACGAGAGATTGCTTCACTAGGTCTTCTGCTAGCGCATAGCCCGTGTATTAAGCTAGTGTAAGTAATAACATCAGGGTTTTTCTCATCCTCATACATCCTCACTATACAAGACAGGCCCCGGTCAATCTCACCTTCCTTGCACCATCCATCTATCATACTGTTATAAGTAGCAACAGAAGGTTTTAGTCCTTTTGATACCATTTCGTTAAACAGGTTATCAGCTTCCGTAGTTCGACACGCTTTACATAGAGCCTTTATCAATACATGATATGCAATCACATCAGGGCAGTGACCATTGGCACATGTGTCTCGGAATAACTCTAAACCTCTATCTACTCCCTCATTTCTTATGAGACCCTCAATTGCAGCAGTATAGGAAACCATGTGACGAAGGAAACCTTCTCCAGCTACATCATCAATGTATTTGCAAGCATCAACAGCCTTTCCATTCTCGCAAAGTTTTTTGACAAGACAGGTAGTATGCTTTATCCATGGCTCAAATCCATAAAAACGCATCTTTTTCAGCAGGTCCAATGCTCCTGCAAAATCGCATCGTTCAGCCAAGCAACCATAAATACAATTAAGTGTGTATTGACTTGGTTCAACTCCGGCATCCTTCATTTCTGCTAAGAGTTTCAAGCTTTCTTCCGACCTTCCTTCTTTACACATCCCCTCTATTATGTTGTTGTACATCATAAGACTTGGAATAAGACCATTCTGGACAATATCATGTAACAAGGTCACTGCCATATTCACCTTGTTAGCTTTGACTAAGCAGTCAATCACAATGCTAAGAGAATCTGAATCTGGGAGGATTGCTTTATTTTGATCCTTAAGAAGCTTCACAATCTCAGACATACCATCCGACTCATGATTTCCCATGAGGTTCTGAATAAAATTGTAAGCCTCATGCACCAAATCATTCCTAATAAACCCCTCCAACAAAGATTTATAAAGAAGCATCACAGATTTTGTGTCTATGTCTCCAATGATCACTTTTGTTATCCGACTTAATTCACTTTCTTCAGAAAATGAACATAATAGCTTCCCAAGTATTCCTCTATCAGGTGGGATTCCCGACCTCTTAATCTCCAAATACAAACTCAGAGCCATCTCAAGATCTTTATGCTTGCAAAGTCCTCCTATCAACACATCATACAATGCAATATCAGGGTTCATACCCATCCGACGCATTTTCTCAAACAACTGAAATGCTTTATCAATCCGAGACTCCTTTACAAATCCATGAATCAAAACACAAAATGTCTTATAGTTCAACCTAATATGTCGTTCTTCGAGCATCTCAATCAACTCAAAGGCCTTATCCACCTGACCCCACTTACAAAATGATACAACCAAGATGGTTGAAATATGTTCATCAAGCCAACCTCTACTAAGAATCTCATTAAAAACACTCAAAGCTCTCTCGGACTTCCCATTGTTGCAATAAACCTGCAAAACTGGTGTAAGAGTAAATTTATCGAAATGAAAACCGCAATCCCTCATCTCCTTCAACCTCGCCTCAACCAACTCAACCGAGCTTGAATTCGACTTAGAAATTGCTTCTAACAAACAGTTATATGTATAAGCATTAGGAACACAAAGACCCATCTCTCTAACTCGATCAAAAACAGAACTTGCTTCTTCCACTAGCCCAGCATTACCCAAACACCGAATAAAAAACCCTAACGCTCCGGGAGACATTAAACAACGAGAATTCAGAATATCTCCAACCAAAGCCGTCAGTGAGGCATTTTGTCGAGCACGTGATAGGATAGAAGCCATGGCATTGTAAGCATACATATCGTTTCTATAACCTTCCTGTTTAGAAGCCCAATTGAAGAAAAGATAAGCCAAACCCCATCTTTTGAATTCATTCAAGACTGTTTCAACTACCTTGGTGTTGAGCTCTGGAGCGAGTTTTAATAGCTCAGGGTCGTCAGGGGAAAAAGGTTGTCTTGTGAAGATCGCAATCAGGTTTTGGGCAAGCTTGGATTGATTGGGATAGAGAAATCTGGTGTTATCTAGCTTTGTAGTGAATGGTCTGTGAAGTTGGCGTTGTTGTTGTTGTTGTCTAGAGAATCGTTGGCAAAGAAGAGCAATTCTCGAGAAGGCCATGAGAAGAAGAAGACAACTAGACCCAAAAACCCTTTCCTCTGTGGTTTTGATTTTACTAAACCCTTTCGTTTTTGTTGGCACCTGAGAAGACCGTGTTTGGCTTCTGCTGTTCTGCTCCAATTTGAAACGCGAGTTTTGCAGACGTGATTTTTAAGTCGCCGACAAATGTCAACCTATTGCAACTTTTTTCTTAAATAATAAAGACAAAAAAAAAAAAAAAAGACTTCGATCTACGTGGTTTGCGCTTATTGGTTTAACTAGAGGAGTAAAAGTATACTAATAATATAGCTCTTTGGCTTTGTGGTCTTATTACTTACTAGGATATGATCCGCGGTACACCGCGGGTTAATTATTTGATTTTTTTATTTTTATAAATTGATGAATTTATTGTGTATAATATTTTTTGTTGTATACCGCGGATCACATGCGTTGTATCTAAAATAAAAAATTTTAAGTTGTATTTGTTTTGTTTAGTGTTTAAGATTGTATAATTATATTTTGATTTGTTATTTATAGGATTTCACCTGTGGTATATTGTCTCGTATTAATATTGACCCAAACCCGTCCAACCATATAATCTAAAATGAAATTAAACATCATTTTGTTATTTTTTTAATAACACTTTTATTTAAATGTCATATAATTCGAGTTAATTTGAAAGTTGCTTTCAAATAGTTTCCATGTATATTTTTAAATTAGTGTGTGTTTTTGGACCAACCCGTAAAAACAATTTATAATTGTATCTTAAAATACTAATTAGGATTTCACCCGTGATATACTGTCCCATTTTAGATAATTGTAAAAATTAAAGAAAGATCCGAATGACTCAATTTCGGGTCTGAATAAAATAACGACATGATTAAATGCTCAATTTGTTCTTAAAAATGTTAATATAGATTACACACATATTTTTATTCATCGATTGAGTAATATATGTCCGTTTTAAAAAATTTGAATTGTAACATATGCAGAAAAAAAAAAACTAAAATTTACTAACTATTTATATATTTTATAATAATTTAAAATAATATAAATATAAGATCAAATAAAAGTGAAATAAGAATCATATATTTATGTTTAAATTAGGTAAAGAGGTTTTAGGAAATTAGTGCAAATTTGTTATATTAGCATTAAATCATCATATTTGATTTCTTTATCTATAAAAATCGTGGAGAATATACCATAAATAAAGCGTTTAAATATAGTAATTAGTTGAGAAAGTATATATATTTTAGATTTTATTAATTATTTTCGTTTTTTAATTTTGCCAAAATTTAAGGAAAGATCCGATTGAAGATTTCCGGGTCAAAATTAAACAAATTTGACCCGATTTGGGTACCCCAAAAACTGCTGCAAAAATGTATAGTAGATTATCATCAAGTCATGTGATATTCATACATATGTTAGTAATCAAACAAACGCATGCATAATTTTTTTTAATTGAGAGTTAACAACGACAGTGGCATTGTCCTCCGTGAGGCAGAGATTTGCAGAAACCGCCTCTTCCATTGTCGCATCCATTGTGACACCAACTGTTGCATCTCTGCTCGTCGTTGTTTGTGTTGCACTTTCCAAATTTCGGGTGGCTATTACAACACAAGGAACCACTCTCTACAACATATCCTTCAACATCTGCCAATATATCACACAGAAGTGAAGCAGTTTAATTTCTATAATATGTATGAGTTCATGGGTTTTTGTGATTAACATAACAAGTTTGTATATTGAAACCAGCCCCGGCTTAGATGGGAAGGGCGGAAGTGCGACGGCCCGGAGCTTTTTTTTTTATAAAAAATTTTTACATATAAAAAAGGCCCAAATATTTTTTAAAAATATTATTAATATGAGAATTATATTTTAAGAGGCCTAATTATTTATAAGAAAATGTATAAAAAGGCCCAAAATTTTTAAAATAACAATTTTTACTATAAAAACTCCGCAAAATTTTTAAAAATTAAGTAAATTTTCTCTTTGTATATAATAATAGGCCAAAAAAATTTTTTTTGCCCTAAGGCTCTCAAATATATTGAGCCGGGGCTGATTGAAACACAAAAATAAGTTTCTTAATTAGATTGTAAACACTTGAGAAATAAACCTTAATTAAAAGAAAAAGACGTACCAACTGAAAAAGTGAGAACAAGGAGCAAAGCAAAACAAAAAACTTTCAAACCAGCCATTGTTAATCTTCTTTTTAGATTTTTATAAGTGTTTAAGCTTGTTTTTAATTTCAGATACAAAGAAAGATATACTTTGTTCTTATTTATACCAAATGTATTCCGCATTTAGTTAATCTGTTGATGAAAACAAACTTCTTTTTGCTAATTATATTGTAACGTTTAATTTTTGTTTATGGAAAATTCAAACCTTTCATGTTCTGTTTGTGACTTCTTCTTCTTGTTGAAAATAACAGAACCCCTAAAAGATCAAATTAGATCATGCCATGTTCAGTCCAACACCAATGGGCTTTTCTTAATTTGTGAAGGCCCAAAACTCTTTTTTTCTGGACTATTTTAGCCCAATTAGCGCTTGTATAAATTAGAGAGCCACTGGAAGTTATAACTTGAAAAGTTTGTCATCTTTTCCGATTTGGCTGCACCGCCAGAGATCGACGACGCTGAGCTTAACAAAGAGGTATCGTGTGTTCCGTTTTCACTCTCTTTTCTTTTCATTCGCCTGGTTGTTTTGTTTCGTTTCGTTTCGTTTCTTCATCTATGGATTTCTCATAGGTGTCTTTTGTTTTTTTTCAAGGGTTAATGTTGCCTCTCGAAAACCTAGCAGTCTCCATGGACGAATACGCCGCCAAAGTAATAATCTTCTTCTCCTTATGAATTTCTTCCTTGTTGTTTTCTGTTTATTTCTATATTGATGGTTTCTTCACTAAGTTTTAACTTTATATAAGAAAAAAGATTTGAATTTCTGATTAGAAGATTTTTTGTACCTTAGGAGATGGAATTGATGGGTCATGATGCAGACATTCGAAAAAGGAGGTAAATAAATTCTATTCTTTTTTTTGTTGGGAGAGATTTGTATCTGTAAAGATGATGACGTACTCTTGTGTGTGTATTGATGATATTATCTCTTGCAATCAAATTATTGCAGTTGCATTAGCTTTTCCGTAACGGGGTATGACACTTCGGTTGCTTATTATGATCTCAACCGCGCGTTGAGAAAGCATTTCGCTTCATGTGGTAGGATCAGACAGTGTTGTATTTCAAGAGACCCTGAAAGGGGTTATCTCAGCAGGTAATTGTCTGATACAATTAGTCAGTGGTCAGGTCCTTCCTTGAACAGTAAGAAAGCAAAGGTTGCATGGGTTGATGTTTGTACACCAAAGAGTGAAGGTGGATTAGGGCTGCGATCCATTGAGGAAGCAAATAAGGTTAGTGTTTTGAAGTTGATTTGGCGCTTATTGTCGGTAAAAGGGTCCTTATGGGTGGATTGGGTGCAAAGATATTTGATTCGTCATGGTTCCTTTTGGGCTGTCAAAGAAAACACAACATGCGGCTCTTGGATATGGAGAAAAATGCTTAAGTACCGAGACATGGCCAAAAATTTTCATCGGGTAGAAGTAAGGAGTGGAGAAACCACGTCTTTTTGGTATGATTCATGGAGTAACCTGGGTTATCTCATGGAGAAGCTTGGGGAACGGGGCTGTATTGACCTGGGGATTCCTCTATCAAGTACAGTAAAGGAAGTGCTGACTATGACCCGCAGAAGGAACCATCGACAAAATATCCTTAATCTGGTGGAAGAAGAAATTCGAAAACAAAGGTTAAATCAGAGAACAATGGACCGTGATATAGCATTGTGGAAGGGGAAAAATGGCTGCTTTCGTAAGAAGTTTATAACAGGAGAAACATGGTCGTTGCTACGTATTGCTAAGCCACCGATGGAGGGACATAAGGAGATATGGTTCTCTTACGCAACTCCTAAATATGCATTTCTTACTTGGCTGGTGTTGAAAAACAGAATCTCAACGGGGGAGAGAATGGTGAAATGGAATAGTAATGTGAATCCAAGTTGTGTTTTTTGTAATGTACAGATGGAGACAAGGGAACACCTATTCTTTACATGTCATTACTCCAAACAGATTTGGAGGACTTTGGCAAAGGGGATCCTCTTAAACAGATTCTCGGAATGTTGGAGTGAGATATTGAAGATCCTAGCAGAAAACGTACTTGACAAAACAAAGAGCTTCTTGCTAAGGTATATTTTCCAGAACTCCATACATTCGATTTGGTGTGAAAGGAATAGAAGAAGGCACGGAGAGCAGCCCTCATCGATAGAGGTACTTGTGAAGATGATAGATAAAAATGTCCGAAACCGGTTGTGCACGATCCAAGGAGGTGGCGACTTGAGATTTGAAGGTGGCATCCAAGTTTGGTTTGAATCAAGGCAATAGAGTTTACACGATAAAAAAGTTCTATTCAATTTGTTTTTGAAAAAGTTAGCATTCTATATGTATAAACGTTTCTTTTTCTTTTGAATATAATTTAACATTAAATTCAAAAAAAAAAAAAAAAAATTGTCTGATACAAATACTTTGTATTTTGTAGATTTAGGAAATTATTAGGAAACTCAGAGAACTATTTTACTCTTGTTACGTGTTATTTTTGTGTGTACCTAGTATCATAATAAAGTTTAACATGTTCTTCCTCCAAATTTTCCAGCTCAAGTTTTATGAAATATCAACTTATTGGCTTTTCATTTCTTTTTCCTTTCAGCTTTGCTTGGATGGCCATTCGGGGAGAAAAAGGTACAGGAGGGAAAGTGTTGGACCTTAATGGAAGTGACTTTGGAGGGTGTAAACTATTTGTTGAGGCTTCACCTTCTCAGGGACCAAACATTGAACTTTCCTCTGAAGCGGCTGCTGTTAGATCTGCACGCAGTCGATTGTTCCGGTAATTTTTTTTTAGTTCTTGTAGATTTGCATCTGTAATAAATATGTCTTCTTCTTCTTCTTCTTGTGTGTGTGTTGATGATATCATCTCCTGCAGAAGCATCATTGTTTCTGTTTCGGGATTTGACCCTTGGCTTCCTGAGCATGATCTCGAGAGCTCTTTGAGAAGGCATTTCTCTTCATGTGGAGAGGTCACGAATATTTCTATTCACAGAGGACCTGGCGGTATTATCAAAAGGTTTGTTTAATTTGTGTCTTCTCCCTCCACCGTTTTTAAATGCTAACTAGCTAAAGACATGTTTCTGTTACAGCCCTGCTTTCATTTTTCTTCTGGGAGAAGACGCAGCAGAGCAGGCGCTGGAACTTAGTGGAAGCGACGTTGGAGGATGGAAAGTAGCTGTTAAGGTTTTACCGTTACCGCCAACTATTAATGAGAGCTTAAATCAAACAAGGTAAAAATTTATTTTCTCTGTGGAGATGTTGTTGATGTTCTTGTGATGATCATCTCTTATTATAATTATTATTTTTATTGCAGTTGCTTTGGGATTTCCGTTACGGGATACGACACTTTGCTTCCTGAGGATGATCTCAAGACCGCGTTGAGTAAACATTTCCGTTCATGTGGAGAGGTGACGGATATTTCTATAAGGAGAAGCAGTGCTTTCATTTATATTATGGGAGAAGGCGCAGGAGACAAGGCTACGGAACTTAGTGGAAGTGACATGGGTGGAGGATGGAAAGTAGTTGCCAAGGTTGATTCTGTTCCGGGTGAATACCATGATGAGGACCCACCTATGTTTATAGGCTAATAAAGATGACTAGGAGTAGAAAGCTCTCTCTTTAGAAGCTCTATTTGCTGTTGTTATAACTTGTGATGTAATGCAAACCTTTTTTTATTGGGTTTTCCTTATGTCTTTGTCTGGATTAATAATTAATCATCATCTGCCTTCATTACTACTATAAGTATGCTGTTTTTTTCTTTGTTTGCTTTTGGTCTGGATGTTAAAAGTAAGCGCAATATAATCATTTATCTGCCTTGATAACCCACTTACTGTATGAGCAGCCCTGTGTCTACTCGACTACTGTTCGATTGATTAGGTAGACAAAAGCGTTATCTCCACACAATTTTTACGTTTCTTGTCGCAAATAACAAAACCCCTAAAAGGCTAAAATTATATTGTAACTTAAATGGGCCTTTTAATTTCTAAAGGCCCAACATTCTTTTCATCTGAATTATTTTTAAGACCAATGAGGCACTGGAAGTTATATAAAACTTGAAAGTTTGTCATCGGCGAACCTCCGATTTGGCTGCACCGCCGGAGCTCGACGCTGAGCTTTAACAAAGAGGTGTCGTATATTACACAATCAGTGAAGATCGAACCTTAAAACCATGGCTTCTCCAACTAATTCACAGAAAACAGGTAAAATAAAACCTTTAACTCTCTTTTCACTCGCTGGCCGATTCGACTCAATCCCTTTGTGCGAAATCCATAGATGGTCTCAGTTTGCCATCGAGTAATTTCCTAAGTTTCTGAATCTTTGTGGTGTATTTTGATGTTGCTATTCGTAATCAGCCAATTTATGCCAGAGATTCGTGTTCATGTTTTCAAGTTACATCTTCTTTTTTTTTTGTATACATTGATTTGATGAGCCTAGCTTCTTTTGTCTCCGATCTTGTAACAGTTTCGGATGACGACGAGGTTGATTACTCCATCAAACCAGAATTCTATGATTCAGATCTTGACGATAAAGATGAGCTATGGATGGTTAAGAAGAGAGATGGTCGTACTTCTGATGCTCTACTTAGCTGTCCAGCTTGTTTCACCACTGTTTGCTTGGAGTGTCAGAGGTAATTTCCATTTTCTTAATCTATCTACATTTCTGATTCATTAGAACTTAGTGTTTTATCTTCATACGATGTTATACTCCATCGAAGCTTTGATTTCTCAATGTTGCTAAGGCTCCATTGTTCATTCCTCACCAATGTAGTAACTTGCTAGATTCTGGAATGTTGGCTTCATTTGGAGATTCTTGACCATTTTATTACAGGCTCTAGATTTTTCTTAGGAATGACAATCTTGATAGAATCTAATCTAGTTCAATTCCCAATCCCAAAACCCCAAGTAAATCCAGAACTTCCTTTTATAGCTGTTAGCTCTCTAGATAGATAATCAACTCAACGATTGCTGATAAACCTACTATCCATTACAAACCCGCCTAGGCTATTACAACGCTCATGAGATAGACTAACATAAGGACAATGGATTTCTTTCTGTCGTCTTCAATCCTATGATATTGTTTTGTTTATAACTTGATCCCTTTCCACTTGTTTGAGCTGTGTGAATTGACATAGGAGCTTGTTTTAGTAATATTAACTGTGGAAATCAGATTGAGACAAGTGAGTCAAACTTTTGCAGGCACGAGCAGTATGTGACACAGTACAGGGCAGTCTTTGTGGTCAATTGCAAAGTAGATACAGACAGAGTTTTGCAACAAAATGCATTGCCCTCAAAGGTTGGGAAAAGAAGGAGAGATTCCGAGATGCAAGAAACTGGTTCTGAATGCAGCGAAAAAGTTAACCCGGTCTTTTGCTCGGCTTGTTCAACAGAGATCGGAGTAGTTGACAGTGAAGAGATCTACCATTTCTTTAATGTCATTCCAAGCGAGCCTTGATACAAACATGGTTTTATGAGTTGTTTGTAACGAGTTCGAAACATGTGATTAGGAGTTACGTTTCGATTGTTTGATAAAATTTAAAAAATCAAGTCATTAGAGAATTTTGAGTGACGCCTGAATAATCAAAGTCTGAATCGTTCACATTATTATTATTATCAAAGGAATACCATATACGACTTGGTCTCCGAATGTCTCTAATTGACGCTAGTCAGATGGCAGAAGATAAAGCGATCCTCTCATATTAAAACATGAGATGACGTGGATTATCCTGATTGGTGGAGTAAGCTAAGAAAATCTAGGGAGGCATCGCCAAGTGAAAAAACTAGAAAAAGAAGAAGATATTTGTATGAAACACGAGTTGATTCTCTTTTGACACAAGTGTCACTTTCTTGTATTTTCGTCCACAACCTCCATAATAATTCTATACAAATTCCCATTAATAAATAAAGGCAGATGAGAATGGGCTCCAGCTGTTTAACACATTTGACAATTGTCAAATGATTCGTACACATATCCCTTTATATTTCTTTAACAAAAACAATATATATGTATTTTTGGTAAATTGGTGATCATTAAAAATTATCTATGCATTTATCCAGCTAACCCCACAACTAATCATTCAGAAAAACACAGTTAATCACTCAATATAACTTTTAAAATGAGCCGGTCATTAATAATTGTCTATTGTATGTTAACTTTTGTGTCAACGTTTTTCTTTTTCTTTCTTTAAAATTTTTAATTAACTAGTTCAATTGAATCCTAGCAAGTAGCGACCAAATGTGACTAAAATTTCTCTATAAGTCTCTAGTTTGGTGGTTCCCCAACTGTGAGTAGTAGTTTCACGTATTATATTTATATCGACATCTTTAATAAGTTAGCTTGGGTATAGTTTTAAGAAAAAGGGCATTTTAACGTAACTCATGGTTGTATCGTATGGGTACGAGTACGACAATCATCATAACAATTATTTCTGTAAAGGATTTCATAATCATAACAAATATGAAAACGATAATATAGTATAATGTGAATGACAGAAAAATATTCATTCCATAAATCATAAAGAGATTATTGTGGCGAAATAATTTTTAAAAATCTCGACGCAACGACATATTAAAAGAGGCGTATCTGCCAGGTGGGCACGACTATTTTTATTATGTCACGCCCCAAATGGAATTATTTATATTAGGATTGCTTAATGGGTAATAAGAAGAATTTTGATTATACAAATTGCACACACGAACGCATATCGTGTGGGGATCACAGTGGTTGGATTATACTCAGGTTAGTAAGTATAGTAATCAGTGTCATAAAGCGCGTAATTGTCATTTATTTGAGCTATTTATTTATCTTAGAACAAACACAAACAAAAAGAGAGAAACATAATCACAAATTAGTAGATGTGAAATTATAAATGACTAAAAGTAACAAATTGAAAATCGTAATTTGTGTTGATGTTGGTGTAAAGTCTACTGACCAATCTTTTCAACTATCGTGGAAACTGGAAACAGCTTTTGTCTTTAACTGCAATCTAATTTTCCGACATCCCTTTAAATTGAAATTAAAATCACGAGTCTGATGAGTGATTGTCAACTTTTGATCCCTGCGGTAAACGTGTATCATTCGAGTGGTTACAATTTACAAATCATAAATTAACAGGTACTACTTCGTTCTACAATAATTTTTATCGATAAGAAATAACGGTAAAAAGTTCAGCATTATAGTGGTTACCGGTCGGTCACAGAAGTAATAAGAATTAGCAACCCAAACCAAAATCGATTCATATTGTTCTTGTAAAGCTAAGTTACTTATTTTCTACGAATCCTAATTACTCGTAATTTAGCTAATGTAATTGAAGCAACCATAATATAAATGGGGACCCCAACTAACTACTAAACCTAAAAACTTAAATTCTCCTGCCGGACCGTGGTCCCAACGCTATAGTCAACACCGGAGTCAAGCGCGTGAGCTTTAAACGCGTCCGGACAAATAAAAAAAACCTAGCAGAAGTGAGCTGTGTGGGACCCCACCAGCCATGTGCTCTCCTTCCTGTCTCCACCAGCCTAGCTTCCTCTCAAATCATTACCTCTTCCTCCTTCTTCATCTTCTTCTTCTCGAGAGAGAGTTAGTTGTGAAATCGCCAACATAACGAACCCTAATTCCATGGCCAACAACGACGGAGCAGTGACTAACGGCGTCATAATCGAGCAGACGTCAAACAAAGGACCTCTTAACGCCGTTAAGAAACCACCGTCTAAAGATCGACACAGCAAAGTTGACGGAAGAGGAAGAAGGATTCGTATGCCAATCATTTGCGCAGCTCGAGTTTTCCAATTGACCAGAGAGTTAGGTCACAAGTCCGATGGTCAAACCATAGAGTGGCTTCTCCGTCAAGCTGAGCCTTCTATCATAGCCGCCACTGGAACTGGCACTACTCCGGCAAGTTTCTCCACTGCTTCTCTTTCCACTTCTTCTCCGTTTACACTCGGAAAACGTGTCGTCAGAGCGGAGGAAGGAGAATCCGGCGGCGGCGGAGGAGGAGGAGGGTTAACAGTGGGACACACAATGGGGACTTCGTTAATGGGTGGTGGTGGTTCTGGTGGGTTTTGGGCTGTTCCAGCGAGGCCTGATTTCGGACAAGTCTGGAGCTTTGCAGCCGGAGCTCCACCGGAGATGGTTTTTGCTCAGCAGCAGCAACCAGCTACACTCTTTGTCCGCCACCAGCAGCAACAGCAAGCTTCCGCCGCCGCAGCCGCTGCAATGGGTGAGGCTTCAGCAGCTAGAGTTGGGAATTATCTTCCGGGTCATCATCTCAATTTGCTTGCTTCTTTGTCTGGTGGAGCTAACGGGTCGGGTCGGAGGGAAGACGACCACGACCCACGTTGAGAAAAAAGGTCTTGTCTTTTTGGTAATGTATAGAAAAAATCCAATGTTTTATGTCATCGAAAGTGTTTAGAGAGTACTTAAGTTTGTGGTTTCTTTTACTCTTCTTTTGAGTAATTTAAGCTTATTGCTTGTTTGATTAGGGTTTTAGGGTTTAAGAATATTTGGTCTCATTAATTTGTTTCGGAGAGTGATAGAAGGAGAGAGAGATTGATTGGTTGATTGTTGTACTAAAACGCCATAAAAGCTCTGTTTTTGCTGGCGAAACAGAGACGTCGTCTAACTAGAAATCATTGCCATTAAATCAAATCTTTAAACAACTAAAGAACAGCAAAAACTCTGATGTTCTGGCCCTCCGGTAAGTTTTGTGCCTGAATTCTATTACGGTTCGTCAATGAAGTTGTCCAGTTTTTAATTTAGTAGTACAGAGTATAGACAAAGAAGTTACAAGAAAAGTGACGAATGGCTAATTGGTAGAAGACAGTCTTTTACTCTTTGGTGGTAAAAGAAACAAATTTGAAGACGGGTAAACAAAGCCGGTCCTGATGATAATTCAGGTTCCAACCAAAAACTTTTAAAACTAATAACAAGCCCATCCAGAGCCGTTTAAGCGGGTAGTAATAGCTGTTGCAATAAAAGCTTTCTGCAAATCTTCAAACACTAAAAGAAATAGTTCAATTTAAGCATCGTTATTAATTTTAACCGGAGCAAACCGATTGGTGAAATTGGATCAAACCGTCTCGAACCGGTGACCCTAAAATAGACTGCTTCTTGGGTATTTCGGAGCTCCTGCAACGTTTCTTCTCATCGATTTTGACCGGAAGCTCCATGAATCAAACAAGACTTTCTTTTTCTCTCGGGGAGGATCAAATGGCAAAAGTAATTCCGTCACTATAGCAAGCAAAGAATAAAGGGTAAAGGTGTAAACTTTGCTTCTCTCCTTCAAAGTCCACGCGATTCTCACTGCCAGCCTCTGTGAAATTTCCAGACTTTCTCGCATTTTCCCTCGTATCAGCCGTCAATTTCAAGTGGGTATGTCTTAGATCTTCATGGCTATTCACGGCTTCTGTTCAATTCTTCGTTTCTCAGTTTTTGACAGTTGATTTCCAGAAACCTAGGAAGAAAAGCATAATTGAAGAAATTAGTGGTTAGAATTTTCTGATTCCGTGAAATTTGAGTATTAGGAAGTATAGAAAGAATATAAAAAAAAAACCTTACTATTCATCAGTTATACATATCTATTTGAATAGTTATACATATCTATTTATAAACCTTTGAGTAAGATCTTCAATTCTCATGTGAAAACTGTGTTTTGAAAGCATGCCATGGATCAATTGTTGGATTAAAAAGATTGTTGTTTAATGTTAGAAGAACAGTAATGTTAGATTTGGTACATTGATTGAGATTAGTGTTCCTGAGATTTGGGTTTAAAAAATCTTTGGTAAAGTGAGTTGGATTGGATTTTACTTGAATGCTTGTTGTTTCCAATCTTTGGCTAATGATGTTCTTTGACCTTCTCGGGTCTGTTACTCGCATGTTTTTCAGGTCTGAGTAATCTTGTGAAGAATCGATGACAGAGATATTTAGCGACACCGGGTTCAGACAGTTAACTCAAATGTTCCTGGCGATAATCTTCTTCCACACATCGGAATACATTCTCGCCATTGCCATTCACGGAGCATCGAAAGTAACTTTAAGCTCACTCTTAATCAGCAAACACTATGCTTTAGCAATGCTAATCTCGGTACTCGAGTATATAACCGAGATTGTTTTCTTCCCGAGGCTGAAACAACACTGGTGGATCAGCAATTTCGGTCTTATAATGATCATACTTGGAGAAATCATCCGAAAAATCGCGATAATCACAGCAGGTAGATCGTTCACACACCTTATAAAGATTCGCCGGGAGGAGCATCATAGGCTTGTGACGGAAGGAGTGTATCAAATCATGAGGCATCCGAGTTACTCCGGGTTTCTTGTTTGGTCTGTGGGAACCCAAGTAATGCTGTGTAATCCAATTTCAGCCGTTGCGTTTGCGGTTGTGGTGTGGCGGTTCTTTGCAGAGAGAATACCTTATGAGGAGCATTACTTGAAGCAATTTTTTGGGAGACAGTATGTGGAGTATGCGCAGAGGGTTCCTTCTGGTGTTCCTTTTGTAAACTGATCCTTTGATCAATTGTGAACATATACGAGAATGGTTCAATTATTTTTTACATAGAAAGTTATGAAAGAGATATTGTTACTCATGTTTCAGATAATGTTCTTGTCAATGGTGAAAGAAATGTTTTTTTTTTTTTTTCTTTTGTTGCTGAATCGGAAATACTCCAAAGACTCTGCCCCAGCCAGAGGATTATGCTTTTGGACATAAAATTTGACCACTGTGTTTTAAACGTGAGTTGGCTCCGGCGAAGAGTCTCCGTGTCCGTGAGAGCGAGCTTGTCCGATTTGTAATCACGAGAAGGAACCATGTTGTGCGGAGGCTCACGTGTCTTGCAGCATTTGTCGGACCACAATCATCATACTTCGATTGGTTTAGGATTAGGGTTTTGTGGTGCTAAGATTGTGCAGCTCTCTTCATTCTTTCTCAGGCCTTCTCAGGGTATGGCGAACAGTCATCATTTCAGCCATAAATGGCATCAGCAGATGATTTCTTCATTTGGGTCTCATAGCAGAACTCCCGGAGAAATCCCTATTCTTCACAATTGTTTCAGGTTTGCTTTTCTCCTCCTCGTTTTGGTTGATTCTCAAGTGTACATTGTCGAGATTTATGTTTCTTGATTCGAAAGAGAGATCTTTTTTTGAAACCATCTGACTGATATTAAATCCTGGGACTTTGCTTTCTTTTTCTGAAGCCAACGAGAAGATGATACTGAGCTTCCAGTTGAAGGATTATCCCCAGTTTCAGGTATCTAGCTTGCTTGCTTCTTGTATCTTCATTCATGTTCCTAAGAAAAGTCACACCTTTCTACTCTTTTTATGGGGATTTATGGATACTCTGCGGTTCCTTTCCTTTTGGTAGAAGAATAGATCTTAATAGATGTTAGCTTATGGTAATGCTCTCTAGTTCTTTGCTGGTATTGCAATGCCTTTCTTTGATCTGCTTACTTGGCCGACATTCTGTCACCTTTTCGTGTTCATGTTCCCTTTTACATGATCATCTAATGCATTATATGTTGCAGGAGGCATTGTTGCTCTAGGGAAGTTTGATGCCTTACATATCGGCCATCGAGAGCTAACAATTCAAGCTTCAAGAATTGGAACTCCATATCTATTATCTTTCGTTGGAATGGCCGAGGTACTTGGTTGGGAGCCTAGGTAATGTCCCCACCTGTAGTATTAATGCCTTCCCTTTTCCTTTTGGCATAAATTTTGCTCGGTTCAAATTCCAATTTACAAATAAACTAACCTAAGATTCCTGTTCTTTGAGATAGTTAAAAATTAGATATGAATCTGCTGATCAAGTTTGTTTTTTAATCAATTTTTGCTCTCTCCCATGGTGACTACTGACAATAAAAATTTGTACAAGCAGGGCTCCAATAGTGGCTAAATGTGATCGAAAAAGGGTGCTTACCTCTTGGGCCTCATATTGTGGAGACAGAGCACCGGAAGAGCACGAGATAGAATTTGCCAGCGTGCGACATCTTACCCCACAACAGTTTGTGGAGAAGCTGTCAAAGGAGCTCAGAGTCTGCGGAGTTGTGGCAGGTGAACTCTTAAAAGATCTTAACCACTCCTTTCTCGTACCATTTCATGTTGAAAACACACAAAATAAATTGTTTGCAAAAACCGTTTTCCACAGGTGAAAATTACAGATTTGGATATAAAGCGTCTGGTGATGCCTTTGAGCTAGTGAGACTGTGCGAGGAATATGGTATCACAGCTTACATCATAAACTCTGTGATGGACAAGAAACAAGGCTCAGGAAAGAGAGACTCAGGGGACTCAAAAGACAGAGGGCAAGTCTCTTCTACACGTGTACGCCAAGCTCTTGCGGCGGGAGATATGAAGTACGTATCAGAGCTCCTTGGCAGGGCACATCGGCTTATCTTGAGAGTCAGAACCCAAGATATGCCGAGTGAAAGGATGATTTCAGTCCCGAGATCATCAATACTTAATTTACCGCCAGGGAACGGTATTTATAAGGCATGTTTGCTTCTAGTCGGTGATGAGTCTTCAAGTCCGTGTACCGTAGTTGTTGATACATCAAATATCCATGTAGAAACAGAGGAGGTACGACTCTGTAATTTAGATTCGTCTCAAGAATTTCGACTCTTGAGTGTTGAGTTCGGTTGATTCAATCTTAGTGTTCCTATGAATTCATATTTCTAAGTGTTTGTGTCTCAACTGAAATTCCTTGGAGAAGCCAAGAGTGATCTGTTCGCTCTATCGTTCACTTTTATTTTTAAGAGTATGTTGCTAGACCAGACATAATAGCCTGGGGACACTTGACACAACCCAAATTCCCAAATTTCCCCTTCCACAAGTCATAGAAATTTAGCATGACCATGGCATCGGTTTGCATTAGCGAAGCATTAGGCAACAACAAGTTGACATGGGTGATTTCGTGGCTGGACAGCGGCAAGGACAAAGACAAAGACATGTCTCAGTAGATACTGAACCAATCTGTTGTATGATGAAACATGATGGTGAGTGAAGCTCTTTGATTCTTCCTTTGCTATGAATATAACTCAAAACTGCTCACTTTTCTTGTAATTTACTTAGGAAAAGATTGAGCTTATATAAAGACTTTTGAATAGACTCAATTAGCCTTAAGTAAGCAATGATCTTGTGTACTCTGTTTTTTATTGGACGTGTCAGGTCACAATACTCTTGTGTATTTGAAGCACAAGGAAATGGTTTCTTGTGCAGAGCCCCATAGAGTTTCCATTTGAGTTCATTAAGATTTGTAAAGATAAATGAATTAATATATTCATCTGATATTTGTCTACAATGGAAAAGAAAAGAATTTGAGTTTGTACAGTAATTTTCTGTCTTTCTAGGACTATTTTCTGATCAATCAAGAAAGGAAAGAAGAAATGAAATATTTCTTGTAAACTCCATAACTCCTCTGAAATCGCGGCTTTATTGCTCTTTGTTGTCTTCAAAGCTCAGAGAAAGAGCCTTCTCAAGGCAATTGAAAGCTTTCTGGTAGCTCATGAATCCCATAAACCAGAAGTCAAAACCGTCGACCGTGACTACTTCTAGGTACTTCTGTGATGGTTTCTTTGTGTTCTGACTCTGGTTCACTCTGTCGATCTTGCACAAGGGGAGTGATACTTTGTAGTGAACCCGGATCATGTCTCCTTGAGGGGAATCCACCTTTATCGATCGCTCGCTGCAGAACGCCATTTTCTTGGACGAGATGAATAGAAGGCCGGCGATGGGACCTGCGGTTGTCGACAAGTAACACTGGTACATTTTGAACAGTTTCTCACCTTCACTGACTCTAAAAAGTCGCTTGAAGATCTTCTCTAAACCTCCAACCTGAAGAATCCTAGCGCCCAAAGATAGCTTTCTCTTCACTGTTTCAGTTAGCTTTGGTCTTAGCTTGCTCTGGTCTCTAGCTCCATTGGTGAAACCATCGGTTTTCTTCCTTTTAAGAATCGATTTTCCGTTGCCTGTCAAAAGTAAAACCAATCCTGTTAGCTTTCAAGTTTTGCAGGGAAAAAATAGAAGATAAAACAATATGACTTCAACATAGAAAGAAGGTAACTAAATAGGTACTAACTTTGTTCAGATTTCTTGGAAGAAGCCGAAACTCGGAACTTGTTAATTGAGGCCGGATCAGGTAAGTAACCAAACGGAGTAGTCTTCCCCGCAGGAAATCTAATGACTTGTTGGTCAACTCTGCTCATGTTCATCTTTAGAGAATGGAGTAAGTATTCTTGGTCTTGATGTTGTTTGGTCTGTAAAATGAAGCTGATTGATGAAATGGTTTGGTGCAAGGGTAAGGTATTTAAAGGGTAATGAAAAGCGAAGATATTGAATCTTTTGTGACTTGACCGTAGGATGAGTCATGAATGGGTCATCAACTATTCAGCAAAAGGGAAAGAAAGCTTTTATATATCTCAATTTGAATCTTTTTGGGGGATTAGGGTTAAAGCATTGTGTTTGGCTGCTTTAAGCCAGAAAAAAAAAAGAAGATCTAAGAGAGAAAAAAAGTGAAACATGATCACAAGCCCCTCACGTTAGACTCCGACATGCTTTTTAACCTACAAGTTGGCAAGACGTCATGCTTTGTTACACGCATGTAATTACGTTTTTATGCGCATAATTAAAAAAAAAATTGAAAATCCAATTATAAGAGAAGAGATAATGAGATTTATAAACATGTGGTTTGAATCTTTAGATTTATCAAGTGTTTAGAAGTCCTAATACATTGGTTAAAATCACATATAGGATTAGACATCCTTTAATTTAAGCACAATTTCATTTGCTTTAATATGTTTTACATTTTACATTTTTATTTTATTTTCTTTTTTCGTATATTTAAAGTTTCTGTGATTACTAGAACATGAAAAAAAAAAAAAAAAAAAAAAAATCTATACGCCGACTTATGGAGAAGGGACGTCGTGGATTTGGAGCTTTCTGAGTTGGCATCGCGACTTTCTGATGTCATTTTTCTTTGCTAAGATAAAGTTTTTTCTTTTTCATATTTTGAATGGAAAAATAAAGAAAAATTTAATAAAATAAAACACAAAGTAAAAGGAAATGTGATTTGAAATGGATCCCTCCATAGAATGAATAAACCTACCGTTGAATCAATTCGTCACCCATGTGATCTACACTACACACAACATGCAAATGCATGTCCCTAATTGTACACTTTACATGATTTATATGCGTGCTTTACGTTTATCTGTATATTATTGTAAATGAAGAAATGATCATGAGTTGGTTGCTACTATGCTACGGTGAGACATAAAACACAGAATATGAATGTTAAATTAAGAATTTTTAACTTTTAAGCTGTTGAATAATGAATTGAGAACGATTTTGGCTTTCTCCGAGGATATATTCTGGCGACTTTGATAGTAAGAAAAAGAAAAAAAAAAAAGATATTAATCAGTCATTTGGGAACGCCTGATTCTAGGAGTGTCGACATGGACTTGCGACTTGCCCATCCAGTTATTCTACAAAAAATAAAGATAATTTACAACATGTCAAGTTTTGAACATTTATGTGGTCGATTAATTGGTTACGTGGATAAAAGTATAATCAGTCAGATAGGATAATTAAGGCTTTTGCTAAAAGGAAACACTAAAATTAATTAATCGAGGCTTCATTATGTGGAACAAGTAAATGCTTTATCAGAGGATATAGCAGGTGAAGGCACTTGTGACTTGTGAGTCGGGAATTTTGAATTGTGGCAACGGACTAATTTATAGTAGAAAATAGAAGTCAATACAAAAAGACAAGAAGAAGAAATTGGTCAATATTTTGGGACGTGACATTCTATGCGCAATAAAATAGCTTATCCTCTAATCAAAAAAAAAGATTCTAACGTGTAAAAAATAACGGGTATGAAAAGAAAGTTAGCCTATACCTCTCCATAGATTTAGATTTGAGGATTTACCTTGAATTATCAAAAAAACAAGCTTGCCCTTGCTCATATGCACACTTTAGACTACTTTAGTTGCCACACTAGTTTTCCAGGGTACATCTATAACAACTAACAAGATAATAATATTTATAAAAAAAAATGTTGACAAAAGAAACTAACTAAGAAGCCCACAAGGAAATATGGAAATATCAATTTCCTTCTTTACATTGTGTGTGATTAATCAGATATACCTTCTTGTTAAATAAAAGTTAAAAGTTTCAGATAAATTCTAAGAAGAACCTAAAAAAAACGTATAAAATCATGTGATGATAAAAATTATGTGAGTATTAGACAAATATGATAAATTATAACCATAAAACCATTTAAGTATGTGAGAATGACATTTATTTTGTGTGTAAATCATATACTATATCTTATCTTAGGTTTGCTTGGACCATCTTCACACATATGTGTTCGTCTCTTCTTCCTGTTCTCTAAACTCCTCTATGGTATTTGGTTATCCATGTAAATTTTGAGATTTGGTAAACGGGTTTTATTTTAGAAATTAGTTATAGAGTTTACTAACACCATTTGATGGGTTTAACTGGAAAATAATGGTTGTTTAACTATAGTTGTTTCTTTAAAAACTATGGGTAACTAAAAATTGATGAATTTAAGTCTTTCGTTTTCTTTTGGCAAGTGTTATATTAATTATCATCTTAATAAATCCATGTGTGTTTAACTAAATAAATATTCAGTGATACTTACTCAAATTCCTTTTTTGTGTTGAAAATATTTTTTTCTTACTTTTTTTTTTAACCTTATCTTCATATCTCATATTGTTTTTCCTTTTTTCGATGAAATGTTGTATTTTTACTCTATATATACCTCAACCTCTCTAGTTCTTTTCTATCATGTGTCTGCGAGTGAAATATCTACGTAACAACAGATTTAAAAGGGAAACCACTACCCAGGGAAAAATGAGCGAAAGAGGCAAATCTAGTTTTGAAAGTTTTCTTAAAAGCATCTCTCTTCCCGTCCGCGTCAAGGGCAGATCTAATTTCGAAAGTTTTCTTAAAAGCATCTCTCTTCCCGTCCGCGTCAAGTTCCATACTGAGGTAACTTTCATCTTTCATTTTTTTCTAATCATTTGACAGATGAATTTAGAATCATCTTTTTAGCGGCATGAAAATTGGTTTATTTAAACATAAATTCGATCTGAGGTAAATCCCTTCAAAAAAAGTAAACATGGAGAATCTAGTGTAAGAAAAATCTTTTAATTTATCAATTATATATGTGTACTTGAAATTTTTGCACAATGCATATCAGACTGTCCTAGATAAATTCATAGACAGATTCTTATGTTAGAAACTCAATTAAACATGTAATCGCATTCTATAAAAATAAATCTCTTCTTTTAGGCTAGTGTTGGTATGAAGATTCTTGTAAGATTAACAATTTCAAAGAGAAATTCAAGTTTTAGACTGTATCATTAAATCATTTAGAAGAAAACAATGTAATTAAAGTCGTTACAAAGAAAAAGTTTCAAAAAGGTATTTTACTAAAAGCAGATAACTAAACTACAATATACTAATTAATGATAGCGTTGAATGATAAACAAAGCTTAACCCCATTGTCTCACTGGCTGACGCGTGTCATATTAAATCTTTTTGATTCATTTAGAAAAAAACAATGTATTGTAGACTATTTAATCGATATTAGATAAGTAACTTAAAACCAATATTAAAACCGAGCTGAACTCTAATTTTTCCAAACTAAACCAAACTAACTTCGATTAGAATGTGGTTACAAAATTTTTTTTTTAACTCTAATTGATCTAAACCAAACTAAAATAACTTCGATTACAATGTGGTTACAATTTTTTTTAAAACCAAACCAAAAACTGAAATACTACTTGGGTCATAAGTGCTAAATAATATCCCTTGTATAGGGAGGGTAGTAGATGGAAGAAACTGAAACAATTGGGTCGATTTGTGATATAAAATAATAGGAGGGGGTTGTATCTAAATACTACTATTGTTTCCTAGTACGGATGCGAGTAATATAACCGGGTGGGCGATTTTGAAATGTTGAATCCGCCGTATAAATCGAAAACCCTAATTTCAAAATTTCCGCGCAGAAACGTGTCGGTTCGTCTTCTTCAAGAGGCAAAGAAGAACGAGTGAAAAAACCTCACCTTCGCCTGGGTGACATTTGGTCCGCCTACGACGAGTGGAGCACTAATTGCGTCGGCGTTCCTCTTACGCTGAAGGACTCGTGGACGATTGCTAATCAGTATTATGCTCCCACCCTCTCCGCCATCCAAATCTTCACCAAGAAACCCTTCGTTGATGATGGATCTTCTTCTTCTTCTTCTTCTTCTTCAAGGTCACAGATTCTCTATTTTGAATCCTATTGTTGTTGTTGTGTTCTAATGATTCATGGGTATCAACACTCAGAATTTGGTTGACATTTTGTTTGTTTCTTTCTCGATTTTAGGAGCTTTGGTGAGGACTGTCATCTTTATTTTGAATACAATGAGACAATGAGCTTAGAGGCGGCTAGGCCGACTCTTACTATGATGGTATGTGAAAGCTCTTACCTTTGCTGTTGGATTGCTTACATTTGTCTCTCTCTAGTGATATATCAAATGGGGAGATTCTGTTTTTTGTTCAAGTTTGAGGAACTAGCTAAGAAGCACCATGGATTGAATACTCTTAGAACCTCTGATCTGTCTGAAAACAGTTGGTTTTCTATAACTTGGTATGTCTTCTCTCAGCTTTTAGCCCTTTTCTTTAAAGTTTCATGTTTCTTCCTTGGATTACTAGTTAATGGCGCTTAATCTACATTGTTTGTTTATATGAAATAACGACTAATGTGGTGGTTTGACAAATATTATAGGTCTCGGGGAATTCAAATTCCAGCAGTGAAAACCCTGAATCAGTATTTCCTAACATATCATTCATTGACACCCGTTATTCCAGGTATATCCCCTCAGAATTTATGCTTGGAAAACAAGTGTATATCGATAGCTTTTTGATGTTTTTTTCTTGTGATCTTCAGAAACTATTCCTAAAAAGACAAAAGTTGAGCTTCCTGCTTTTGGAGTTCTGACTACCAAGCTTGACAAAGTTTGGATCATGCCTGGGACCTCAGATCAAGAGATCATAAACAGGCTTGAAGAGTCTGCTGCCTCTTGGCTTGGAAAACGCATGTTCAGCCACAGCGATTTCGACATGTTTATGGCTGAGAAATCTAAGGACCTGCCATTTTCTAGTGGGGTGGTAACTGGTGAGTGGTAACTATCTCCGCATTGAAATTCTCATATATCCTCCAGGTCCTGGTGATGTAATGTTGCCGGAAGAAAAATAAGCCTGGTAGTGGTATCTTGTTATCGTGGAATGTTTAGATGAAAACTATGTGAACATTTGGATTTGTCAGTTTTATTTAAAAAGTGGCATATGATTTGCCAAAACTCAAATTATTCTTAAGTGGCATATGATTTGCCAAAACTCAAATTATTCTTATTATAATGTAACTTGGATTGAGTATTTCTGATGCTGGCATCTCATATTCAGCATAGTAGATACAAAATCAGGCTAGAAGATGACTTGGTAAAATCTTTTGGTTTTACTTCCATAACTTTAGTTGCAGTAGAGCTGGATCTTATGCCTTGCGTCTTGTAAGAGTATACATTTTGCAGGCATGAGGCTCCACTAAGGCAGAGAGTTGATTTTTAACACGTGAATGTGTCGAATGCTGCATTCATCATAATCATGGTTCATCATTAGATTTCAGGTGTGAGTTCTAGTAAGGAAACAGAATTCTAATGCATGTTTTGTTTATCATAACTTACCTCCCATAAGTCACGAGCATTAACAATATCTGATGAACTAAGGCCAATGTCAGCCCATCGAGCTGTGATTTTGGCAGATACTGATCCTCTGTTCCATAGGATGACCGCTACTCGTTTCTTGCTTAGCGGACCTGCCCATACCTGCATTGCACCACATATGTTATGTGTTTTCTGTTTGGTATTTGCATACACATATGTAAGAAAAATAATACCTCAAGATCACCATCTTTCTTGATTTTCTTTCCCTGGATCCCAAGTTTGTCTGAACATAAACAGGTCAAGCTCTTACCACTTTTGGATTTCATTTTGAGCAGATTCTGAAGTGGTTAAGAATTTTTCTATATTATTTACCTTGATTAACAGCAATCACCTCTTTGTTGCTAAGCAACTCGAAGGTAACATTGTCCATCGATCTAAGATCACACCCTATCAGCAGAGGAGCCTGCAAAGAGAGAACACAATCCAACATTGGTTTAAGTAGGGATACATTCATTCTCTGTTTAGGTCTTTCAGGTAAAACAACATCATACTTTTGCCAATGCCCAGATGCTGAAATGCGACCTGTATTCTTCCTTAGTCATCCCTCCATTTCCCACTTCAAGCATGTCTGGATCTGTTTCAGTTTTACCCGGATACCAATATTACTTTCTGGGGACTCGATAGAATTGACTCGCATCTGTATTAATTACTCCAAAATATTTACCGTTCCACGATCCTGGTCTTGCATAAGATGCCCATCGGTCATTTTGATCTGCTATCAGGGTCATGCTAACAAGCAAACAAGGAAGAGAAAAGCATTTTCAAGTTCTTGTTTCACTAAGATTGGGAAAAAAACCATTAAAGAACAGAAACCTTTTCCAGTTATCTTGGATGTCTCCTGTTGTTCTCCAACTGTTGCCAATATCTCCTGCCCAAGTTGCTGGATCCTCTTGTCCCCTGCACTTACAACTCAGTTTCTTGTTTAGTATCATCAGACCAAAGTTGTCTGAACTAAAACATAAGTGAATCTTCTCCTTAAATAGTCTTTTTACCATTCACACAGAGAGAAGAATATGGATCTTCCTGAATTTAACAGAGCTTTGCTCATCTTAGGGTATCTTTCTCTTGGACTTGTCCCAGTATTTTCGCAGTTATCATACTTCAGGTAATCAATCCCCTGTCGAATACACGATAACGAAAGCACACAGCTCAAGGTTTAGGAAATGAGTTCAGATGTAACACATACAAACATATATACCCATGAGGCAAATGTTTTGGCATCTTGTTCTTCATGCCCGAGTGAGCCCGGCATGGTTTGGCTGCAGGTAAGAGTCCTAGAAATCGAGAAAAAGACGATCAATGGAGTTAACAAGATTTTTGTTTGATAACATAAGTATCTTGTGTGTATCTATACCCGGCATCAGAGTATATCCCAAGCTTTAGCCCTTTGCTATGAACATAATCTGATAAAGCCTTGATTCCTGAAGGAAATGTCGATGCTTTCGCAACCAAACTCCCCTATCAAATACACCAGAAACACATCTCATTTTCGTTCATTGATTCTCAAACACTCTGAAAAAATAAGATTATTTAACCTGAGAATCTCTTTTGAGTTCACCCCAACAATCATCTATAAACACAGAGAAAAACAGAACACGATACTTAAGAAAACAGAGAGATGGATGAAACAGAGTAATCACACTAAAATGTTTAAAATTTATGTACCTATGTTGATATACTTGTAACCTATTGCAGAAAGACCACTAGAAACCATTGCATCAGCTGCAGAGAAACTCAGATTTTTAGAGTTACTTTTACTATCAATCAATCTTGCATCAGATTTGCTTTCTATATAGTAGAATCAGTTAGCACCGGTTTGTTTGATGAGGGTCTCATTGATGTTACACTGAAAATGATTCCAGCTGTTCCATCTGATCAGAGAGCAATCATGAGAGGTAAATAACTTGTAAGTCAAGGAAATGAAAACACAAAAAAAAAAAAAACGATGAAGAAGATCGAACCCCATTTGAGGAGAGAGAGCAAGTCCATTGTGCATCAACATTCGACTCTGAAACCCATCAACGATCTGAGTCAGAGTCAGAGTGAAGGTAATGAATCTTAAGAAGAAACCAATAAGAACCATTGCTTGATCAAGCTTTTTTTTTTTAATTTCCTTCAATGGCTATACACTGACTCAGAGAGAGAGAGAGAGATTCAAGAAAAATCAAAAGTAGGTTCTATAATAAATGTTGATGGTTAAGTGGGGAACTGTGGGATCATGCCGATCTCTATATATATAACACACTGTGACTGTCTTAGTTGTCTCCATAACAAGTGGGTCTTTTGCGTTTCAATCACGGATATGGAAAATAAATATGTTATCTGGTTGTGACGCAAAAAGTGTAAAAGATTGAGGAAAAGAAGAGGTCGTTTGTAACTGTGTAGTAGGGACGTATTCATAACTAATTCTAATAGTTAGTGAAAGGCTGCGATTGATATAGAAAGAAAGCGTTTATTGTGGTTAACCATTAACCAGATAAACACAATTGTGTAGTCGGTGGTGTATAAGCGATGGAGTGCCTATTAGAGGATATGTTCATTTCATAGTCTCCGGATTTTAGAAAAATAAGCAAAACTTTATCAAAATATGATGATGAAAAATGAATTTTAACGTTTAGCTAACTCTAACAAAAAAAACAATTAGCAAGCTAATACGATCCAAACTTCTTCTTCTTTATTTTTTCTATTGTCTCAGGAACTGAAGTATATATAGCACAATGAACTTGCTATTTTACAAGGAGGAATATTTTTAGCTATAAAATCTAACAAGTATTTTTGGAGTGACCCACTTTTTTAAATTATGAATAAACCAGTTAAGCTCTGATAACGCCATTTGCATCCAAAAATACAAAGACAGAATTTTCTTCACGCGTTTCAATAAATGGCACGTAAGGTTTTCACTTTTCATTGTCATTATCGTATTGGACTCTAGTACACTCAATCGAATCATTTTTATTAAAATGATGTACACATTTATATATTCACAATTGCGAATTATGTTACGTACAGATTACTCCACCACTAGCTAGACGGACTTGAAGTGTGCATGTTTGCTCTGATGAGCCCAAACTGTGCATGTGGTCCTACAAGTAACAAGTCAGTGGCCATTCGAATGGGTATTATTAAAAACTGAGCATGCTTTCCGAGTGTGATGTTTGATATTATCTTAATTTTTTGTCACTATTGTCAAGTATTACATAATTTTGAGTCTTAAAACGCTATTAGAATAAAAAAATAAAAAATAATAACAAAACCTGTTTCTAGCTTGATTAAAGTTTGATGGTCCAAAATGCAAAAAAAATAACCAAACGTATGTAAGGGATCTCTATCTTTTATTCTATATAAATCGATATCACAAAAATAAATTAAAATCAACATATACGACACAGGTACAAAGAGTATACTTTAAGGCGAAGTCTCACATTGTAATGCCCACTTTCACCCAAACCACTTATTAGTTTCATCAGCCAAAGCTTCAAGTGGACCAACGCACAAGTGATATATAACGTGTGTCACGTACGAAACAAAATGAAAAGCCAAAAAGTTAAGGTTCACCATTATATGGACACACATATCGTTTCAAACTCATTGACAACACTTTTGGATTCATTCAGTAGAGAAACTTTGAGCAAATTTAGAACAATTTATTGGAGAATATCTGTGGAGATCCAATTTGAGACGAACCCTTATTGTTTTTACAGAATTATTGGAGATTACAACGTAACGTAGCCACACTAATTAACTCTCTCTTTATGTATTTCAGGCAACAGGTTTGACTGTTTGAGAATATACAACTTACACGCATGAGAATCCACTGTTGCTGTCAAGTTCCCTACAAACTTTTGCTTCAATGTCTTGTGCTGTTCTCATATCACAAACAAAACACATTCATCAGTAAATATCTGATCTTCTAAAGGTGTTTGGTTTATGTATATATGTATGTATATCTACAGTTGTATATTAATGTGTATGTATGTATACCTGCCATAGATCTCTGGCTTCAACAATGCTATTTGCAGGGATCTCAATATCATCCCAGAGAGCAGTAATCAAAGTTCGTGATGGTCCACGGTTCAGCAGAAGCAAAGCTACTCTGTAACCTGACAATGGTCCTGCCCAAACCTGATTCCATTTCCCAATTCATTACCAAAACACATTTTTCTTTTAGATGAAAGCTTATGTCTATAGACGGAGTAGTATATATGTCGGTGTTTTCAGATGTAATCTAACCTCGAGATCGCCTTCCATTCTAACTTTCTTGGCCTGACACCGTGTGGATCTACAAGAACTTTCCTTTTCTTTTTTATATATATCAACATGGTTCTAAGAGGACATATGGTGGCTAAACAGTAATTAAGTACCTTGATTAATAGCTATGACTTCCTTGTTTGCGACAATCTCCACTGTTTCCTTGGTCATGTTTCTTATGTCACAGCCAAGTAGAAGAGGAGCCTGTGATATATATAAAGCATTGGTTACAGACTTGATAGATTTTGATTGAAGAGAGTTTCTCTATTTCCTGAATATAACTTACCTTTGAGATTGCCCATATGCTGAAATGGACTATGTACTCCTCTTTCGTCATTCCTCCATTTCCCACTTCAAGCATATCCGGGTCTGCAACCAACAACAAAGTCACCCACTCGTCATCAATATATCTCCAAATCCTAAAACTTAAAGCAGTAGTCTTTTGCTGATATAATAACAGTACCGTTCCAGCCACCAGGTCTTGCATGCTCAGCGTAGACTTCATTCATGTCTGCTATTGAGATCATACTGTAACAAGCAAAAACCTTGTCAAGATAAGCAATCTTTTTAAAAAACATGTCTCCATCTTTTTTGTTTTATTCTTACCTAAGCCAAGTATCTTTGATGTCATTAGTGGTTCTCCAACTGTTGCCTACTGGAGATCCCCATAGAGCTGGATGCATATCTCCCCTGATAAGAAATCAATGTGTAAGTCTTAATTCTTCTGCAGAAGAAACAACACAATGTTTCTTTGAAAGGGAACATGATTTATACCATTCACACAGTGAGTGAAAGATGGGGCGGCCAGATTTCATCAGAGCTCGGGTCATCACCGGATACCTGAATGGCATCATTCATCCGTTATTGGCAGTGAATGTATATTATAACTTTTATAGCTAAACCTGGTGTCATCAGTTATACCTGACAGTCGGTTTAGAGCCATCGTTGTTGCAGTTGTCATACTTCAAGTAATCAATTCCCTGAAATTTGAGCCAAGCATTGTTACTACTTATTGTCTGAATTTCAGGTCAGGGACCAGTTTCTCAGAATGTCAGAAAACAAGAATGACATGGACGTACCCATTCTGCAAATGTCTTGGCATCATGCTCCTCATAGCCTAAAGAACCTGGCATGGTTTTGCTGCAGGTAAAATACCTGTAAACCAAAACAAATTATGAGGTCAATTTGTACGAAAATTTGCAAAAAGGCAAAAAGCAATAGTAATATACCCGGCATCTGAGTAAATCCCGAGCTTAAGGCCCTTGCTATGAACATAATCAGCAAGCGCTTTAATACCAGAAGGGAAAGTTGACTTCTTTGGCACCAGACTTCCCTGGAAAACAGAGTTAAAGAAGATAAAATCTAGCAAAACTGCAGAACAATAAATGAAACCAGTAAACACAAAGAAGTTATAATACCTTGCTGTCACGAGAAATTTCAGCCCAACAATCATCTGAGGAACAAACCAAGATTTCAGTACTGTGAAGAACAATAACTCATGGAAAGTTTTACTCTTTAAGCAATCATATTGATGAAAGAAACATTAATCAACTTCAGAGGGATACAATGAATTTTTCGAACTATGTTTTGCGTTAGAGGCTTAGAGCCATACCGATGTTAACGTATTTGTAACCAAGCTTAGAGAGGCCGGTAGTAACCAAAGCATCAGCTGTTACAAGCATCAAGATTTGTTAAGATAACCAAAGCATCAGCTGTTACAAGCATGCAAGAATAATCCAGGATTGAGAAAAATTGAGAATTCACCAGTTTCTTTGATCATTTTCTCATCTATGTTGCAGCTGAAATGGTTCCAGCTATTCCACCTGTAACACCATTACATTGAACTTAATTCAGACATCATCAAGAACACAGAAACATCAATCGATTATTAACAACAACTTTCAGGATATGGAAGTTAAATTCAAGCTATTTCTTCTCTTATTATTTGGAAGTTTGGTTAAAGACTAGTGGTTGTAGAATGTGTTTGTCTTTCGATTTCACAAACTCCAAATTTGGGAATCAATCGTAAAATCCACCAACCATTAAGAAGGAAACAAGCTAGCGAGAGAAAGAAAAAGATTTATACAAACCCCATGGGAGGAGTGACGCCGAGGCCATTAGTGAGCAAGTGTCTTCGTAAGATCTCAGAATCGTCACCATTATTAACCTTGTTAACTGATCTCGAAGACTCGACCATATTCATCACCATTAATGAAATCAGTATCATAAGTGTTGACATCTTTATCACCATTGCTCTAGTTCTCGCCATCTCTGCAAAACCTCTCTAAACAAGCTTAATCACAGAGTGAGAAGAAGACTGTTGACGAACACTGGCTTTGTACTTTGTAGTAGAAGAAACTTAAAGAGTGTTCTATAAAATTCTATTTATTCCCATTTTGCCCCTCAATACTTATCTGTACTTTCCTTTTTAAAAATATAGTAGTATATCTTAACGTCCACATATATATAAGCCAAGGTCTTAACATAATTTTTAAAAACAATTTGATAATTAAAGAAGATATAATTCCTATTTTTTCTGTTTTCTGTCATGATTTTAAATGGTTGGATTCTTTTAGATGATAAAAAATAAATAGTAGTAAGAGGTTAATTTGTTTTTTACGGTTAGATTTTTTATTGATTTAACGGAAAAGTCTTCACCAAAATTAACGTTGGAAATTCGAAAAGTTTTTAATAATAATAAAAAACTAAAAGCTCACGTTTCTTTGACTAGTAGCTGGGATAAAATGATCAATAATACTTTTAGTGGAAGCAAAATCGAAATCAAACACTTGGGTCTGTTTTATAGAAAAGTATATGGGTTGGGTTGTGTATTATCATCAGTGGATTTTTAATTTCTTACTTGTGAAATATTTTGTACACTTTATTGGGTTTACTCTGATCTTGATTCTTGACTAATAATTTTTTTTATAGTTGATTAATAATTCAATTATAAAACATACTTTACTAGTTTTGTAAATGTGACTCATTGTTTGTATTGGGATTAATTATGATTTTCTGGATTGTTCTTTGAAATATATGTCTTTTTCTTGTCAAGATATGTCTTTGTTATTATGGAGTTAAAACTACGTTCGTAAAGAAGACTTTGAAGGTCTTTGATTTCTGTACGTCTGTAGCCATGATATATTAGTATATATCGATTATTTATATTATCTTCTGTGTCTGAAAAAACAAAAGCAAATCAGTATGTCTCTTCTTGGATGTCGTTCTATATATTTTAGTATCTCCTTTGTTGTTATTGTGTTGTGTCCACGTCAGTGGTGGGTACTAATCGAATATCCTAACTAGTATTATTAACTCGGGACAAAATTTTTTTATGAATTATGAATTAATAACTCAAATACTCAATAGACATCATTTTTTCAAAACCTAAAAATTCGAGTACTCTAAAACTCTGAACAAATAAAAACTTGTAAGACTATAGGTAACGCAGCATCTTTTACCCTGTTCTAGGGTATAAAAAAATAGAAAAAACTCATACAGTAGAGGAAGGGAAGAGTGGTCTTGAGCAAGATCAGTTGTAAAACAGCTCTTACTGCCACGTGTCAGAACATGAATGGATATAAGTTTAAAAAATGGTAAAAAGCATCTTCATATCTCTCTCCACCGATCAATATATCTATATAAATATTCTCTTTCTCTCTCTTAATTTATAATACCATTATAATTATTTAAGACCTATAAAAAAGTTTTTGCGATGCATATGCTCTAAGACCATGTTTAACGGCCCATCTTCGGGCATGATCTTAGAGTTTAATAATAATAAACTTTGTAAAAAGTGGGTTTAGAACACTTCTCATGTTCTTGGGCTAGAACTGTTTTTGGGCTGATCTTGTGGCGACGTGGCATAGTCTGATTCGTTGCGATTTGTGATAACGAAAATCTTTCAAATATTTAAGTTTTTGTTAACTTTGTATTAATTAAATAAAATGTTTGTAACCTTTAATTAATATGTTTGATTGTTTTTTTTGTTTTTCATTTATATCTTTAATGTTTTTTTTTATAATTATTTGGAATTGTATTTTGTGTTTCTTTTTATTTTCAAATCAATGTTAATATAAGTTTACTTTTTTATGTTTTCAATTTTAAAACTAATTTTTTAATTTTAATATACTTTAAAATGTTTTGATTATTAAATTATTAATTCATATGATCTAAACATGTTCTACCAATAATCAATTACTTTACAAAAGATCTTAGTTAAAGCTCTTATAATATTTTAATATTTTTTCTCCCTTAAGATCAATCTTTAAAGATGCACCCTTGCATATGTCCTAAGAGCATGTACATTGCATATATTAAATGGGTGTCTTCTCACATTAATACAATTATTTAAATGTGAAAGGTATCTTTAAATGGAAGACCTCCTTGCCGAAGTGTCTTAGTTTGGAGAGACACTCAAATTAATATATGTAATGTAGATGGTCTAACAATCTAAGAAGTAAGTATTTAATTTTGTACATCATCTCTAAACTTTTTCACGATAGGTACTTAGTTTGGAGAAAAAACATTATAATTCCGCAAAAATAATCAAAACCTGATTCACAAGTAAACCCTTAAAAAAAAAAGAGAATCAACAGTGACTTCATGAATCGACTCTCCGACCCACCTTCTCCACATTCCCCTCCAATCTCTCTCCTATGACACTATAAAACGCACTTTCTCATTTCTCTACGATATCGTCGTACTTGTTTAAGCAAGCATCATCATCATCATCAAGAGAGAGCAAAAATGTTTTCACCAAAAAAATAGGCTCATGTATTCTCATAATCTCATCTATCATCTTCATTGATTGTTAGAACTTAGAAATTAATGTAAAACCCTTCTTTTGAGACGGCAAACCTGAGAAGGCCAGGCCCAGGCCCATCAACGTCATTAGCAGTTTTAAAACTAATATAGGATTAGTATCGGGTAGAAATGTGGGAATAAAGGGTGAACTGTTACAAAATTAGAGATCTCAGCATCACCCACCAAGCATTAAGCTTTTGAAATGCATATATGTTCTTTAATGCAATCATCCTTAAAAACATTCAACTCTACTAATTAAGGGCATCAAACATTTTCATTCTCTGAAAGCTTGAAGAGAAATAAGCTTTAAAATGCAATTCTCATTTCTTAATCTGCAAAATACAGAGTTTACATATTCATACTAGAGACACTCTTTATTAGTATATGGGCTTCCAACTCAAAACCAATTGACAATGGAGAGGCCCATATATCATATATACTAGTCAAGATCCCTTGTCTTTTCCAATGTGGGATAATATTATCCCTAATACGCTCCCTCGAGATGATGGCTCTATCCATTGATCTCGGTATACTCGGGCATGAATCGGCGGGCCAACTATTGTGTGGGATAATATTATCCCTAATACGCTCCCTCGAGATGATGGCTCTATCCATTGATCTCGGTATGCTCGGGCATGAATCGGCGGGCCAACTATTGGGCCGGGCCGATGGTGGATTGCATCTGGACATGTACGGATCGGGCTCTGATACCATCGGGCATGGATCGGCGGGCCAACTATTGGGCCGGGCCGATGGTGGATTGGATTTGGACATGTACAGATCGGGCTCTGATACCATATTAGTATATGAGCTTCCAACTCAAAACCAATTGGCAATGAGTAGAGAGGCCCATATATCTTATATACTAGTCAAGATCCCTTGTCCTTTCCAATGTGAGATAATATTATTCCTAATACTCTTCGAGACATTAGGGCAACACATGACCCGTTGCTTAATCTAGATCACTCAAAATAGCAAATTTGTTTCGCAGAGTAATAGAAGCACGTGATGTTGTTGATGACCGTTTGGGAGGAAGCTTCCTAGTGACCTTCCTATTGTTGCAGACAGAAGACTCTGATTGACTCAGAGGATTAGGCTTCTTCTCTGCTTTACTTAAAAATCCTCTGTTTGAGGCAGAGGCTTTGGTATTGTTGACTTAGGCTGAGTTTGGTTGACATTCTCCTCCTTCTTCTGTTTCTTAGAACTCACCATGTCCTCCTCTGTGAGACTTCTCTTTGCTGGAATGAAGGGTTTTGACTTTGCTTGAACGGACTGTTTTAATGACTCCTCAGCTTTCAACATCTACAGGGATTAAAGGACAAAAGTATTAGTTTATTTCATTGATAAAATTAGATGAAGCTATTAAAAGTTTTATAGAATTTGCCTCAAGCTCAAGCTCTTCAGTTACTGGAATAGAGGTCGTTATTCCGAACTTCACTATAGCCAGTGCCGGTTATTGGCATGTGCAAGTGGTGCATTTGCACCGGGTCCAACAAATTTAAGGTCCAAATTCATAGTTTTTCTATTATTTAACTATTTAATTATGCTGAAATTTTATAAAATATCTATATGTAAAGGTCCCAAAATTCTATTTTAAAAGGTAATATTGAGGCCCAAAATTAATAAACAAAAATAACAGGTCCAAATAGCTATAAAATACAAAATAATTTATGAAATATAACTTTTTGTAAATATATATATAAATTTTTTATTAAAGATAGGATTTTTTTTTGTATGGCACCGGGTCTTACCGATGAGTGAGCCGGGCCTGACTATAGCAAGAACAAGTTGCATGACAGCGTTTGCCTTGTGGGGGGCTCCCTGCACTTGATATCCAAATATAGACTGGGAAGAGAACGAAAGAAACAAAAAAATTATGTTTGATCACTCAAGTAGCGAAAGAAGAAAACCTTTCACAGGCTAACCTTGCACAGATTATCGAAAGAGGGCCTTGGAGGCTTGCTCGGACCGCCGGAATACTCATACTTAAACACAAGTGAAGTATCAATTTTTCTTGCATGATCCATCTTCAAAGCTGAGAAGAGTCATATCAATCAGTAGGGTTTTGAAACTAATATAAAGAAAGAAAGAAAAAGAAGAAACTGGGAGCATATTTGTTGTACGTACCATTTAGATCGTGGTTCAAAAAGTGACCTACCATAAACGTATTCCAAGAGAGGAATTTGATTCGACATTAGAATTAACAAGTGCAAAATAGAAAGAAGAAAAAGAAAAAGGTTTGTGTAAAGTACCTGTAAATCCGCGACAGAAAGAGTAGAAGCAGTTTCAAGATCTTGAGCAGTAAGCCCGGTAACATCGGTTCTGTAGTCAGAAACTGGTTTATTCGGTTTCACAAATTCGTCAAGAATCACCTGTTTTTTTTTTAAAGAAAGGAGACACAATATTTTATAACAACAACAAAGAAAAGAGTGTTTGCCCAAAAGAAAGAAAGTTTATGAAGAAACCTTTAAATCACGGTCAACTGCAGAAACTCTAACAACAGCTTCACTCCCATCATCACAAAGAACCATCTCACAACAAACAGCAACCATCTTACTACCGACTTTACCATCCCCTCTCCTCGTGACAACCCAATCCTGTTTTTAATAATTCGAAGGCTCACAACTTTTTCTGTTTATAATTGAAAAAAATAAGCTGTTAATGAAAACACAAACCTTGTCCTGGGGTGGGCAAAAAGTAGTCTAATGGGTGGTCATCACGAGTATGAGTCAAGCGAACCAGCCTCTGCAACACCATATATAGCGAGAGAGAGAGAGGGAGAGAGAGAGATGAAAACAGAGTTACAAGACTCGACCAAAATTTTGATGTTGTAAGAAATCCACACCTGCAAATGAGTACCGTCCGAAGGTTCCTTTGCGACAACTACGTGAGACAGATGATGGCCGCGACTCATTTTCCAAGCCAAGAATAGCTTGAGAGTAATAATAACACACACATAACCAATATATAGATAAGTCTCAGATATCAAACAATTGTACATGTTTTGTCATAACCTGTTCATCATGTAGCTAGGACAGTGAGGAGGCCCTCTCGTGAATAAAACGAAGGACAAGTAATGATTCGTCCAAACGTTGGGAAGTATACTTTTACAAATTCCTCCCATGTTCCCCTGCAGCCTCTCATACCACGATTACTCAATATCCGAATCAGACTTTCAAGCTCCTAATATCACACAAGTAGTACGTGGACACAAATTAGAAGCAAAACAACCGACCGAGATACAAATTAAGGAGATCATATCACTTACATCTTTATCCTTTCTCGCTAGGACGTCCTGCATAACCGATCCTGTATAGAGTATTTTGCTTCTCATGTCGGGGACGGGGGCTCTCTGAGCTTTCAGTGGGATACGAAAACTAGGAGGGTTGATGCTTTGGTTTTTATAGTGGCTGTTTGCTTCCGACCGAAAATTTATTTCTTAATTCGGTGCCGGTCTTTTTCTATCTTCCACCTTTCTTCTTCTTGTTTTTTTCCTTTCTCGGCAAAGCTCATTTCGATAAAGCCCAAAGGGCTAAAAGGGTTTTACAAGCAGATCAAACATTTAATGGGCCAAAAGCCCAACAATCAGTATGTCTTTGTTCTTGGATATGTATATTATCTTCTTTATTGTTATTCTGTTACCTCAATGTTTGGTGCTAATCAAATATCATAAGTAAGTAACTCGGGACAAAAAAAGAGTTATGAATTTACAAAACTATAAGTTTTGTGAAGTTTTGAATAACGGTATCCGTTAATCCGTATCAACAACTATATATCCACCATTATTCAAAACCTAAAACTTGGAAAATCTGATCAAAATAAATGAAAACTTATAACGATCTAAGAAGTATTTAAGATGATTTTGTACATGATATATCTCTAGTTCACTTTTCACGATAGGTACTTAGTTTGGAGAAAGGACATTACAATTCCCCAAAAAAACCAAAACCTGATTCACAAGTAAACCCTTCAAAAAAATTAAAAGAGAATCAACAGTGACTTCATGAATCAACTCTCCGACCCACCTTCTTCACGAACCTCCAATCCCTCTCTCCTATCATATGACACTATAAATGAAAACCCACTGCTGTCTAATTTCTCCACGATATATCGTATTCGTTTCAGCAAGCATCATCATCATCATCAAGAAAGAGAGAAAATGTCAGATTGGGGACCGGTGCTAGTGACGGTGATACTCTTCGTGATGCTCACGCCGGGGCTTCTGTTTCAGTTGCCGGGCCGACAAAGATATGTTGAGTTTGGTAATTTTCAGACAAGTGCTGTCTCCGTTATCGTCCATTCTCTTCTCTACTTCTCCCTTGTTTGCGTCTTCCTTCTCGCACTCAAGATTCACATCTACATCGGCTAATTAATTATTTTGTTTTCATCCCTTTTTGTGTGTGTTTTCAAGTTTTCTTTTGATTAACTTTTTAACCTTAAATCATTTATCCAATATTTTAATTCCAAATCTTATATATTAATTCTCATGCATGGTCCATTAATCCTTTGTATCGGAGGACCCTTTTGCTTTATGTGTTTACCTTTTTTCTTCCAGTAAACGCAAAATATTATGCTTTAAATAATCAATTAGTTACCTTTGTCTTATATATGTGAATTTAGTCTGCCATTAAAGCTGGACATTCGATTATTTGATTGCATGCATGCTAATGAATGCAATTGCTCCAAGCCATGAACGAAAAGTAGAAAGTCAAATGAATCAATCATCTACATTATATCAAATGCACATATATGAGAGAAAAAAGATTGAGACAGAACGGAAATTAACAAACAAGCCAACCCATTTGAACACTGGAAATATGAAAAGCCTAAGCTTAGTTCATTGATAAAACTGAACAATGCATTAACTAATTTCACCAAATTAGGCAACAGAAGTTCAAAATTCACAACCCATCACATTTCTCAGAACTTCATCAATTGACTACGAGTAGAAACCTACGGAATATGGATGATAAAGTTTTAATCAGTGATCTAAATTCTCTTCATCGTCATTATAATCTTCATAGCCAACTTCTTTGTCCCCAATGTCATTAATCTCATTAAGTTCTTTCTTTGCAGACCTTTCCTAAACTAAGTCACCAAAACAATATTATCACCTAAAAACAAGAAAACGTTACATTTGTTTAGAAACATAAAAAGGACAACAGAAAATCTATAATGCATACTTATTGGGGTTGTTTAAAAAATCATTCTGCCTCTTTTAAATTCTTGTATATGTTGTTGACTCCGATTGTTAGGAAATTTAAATCCGACCAATAATTGTAAATGTACCAAGTTCGATTAACAAAACCTAAACCGATTAGGAAACCAAAATAAACCGGTTACGTTATCCTAAACGACCATCACCTGTTAAAGTGTTAATTGTACTAAGCACCGACAATAATTTTCAAATAAAATAAACTAAACTAAATTATACTGCTTACTAAAGTTTCTGAAAATATGAACCGAATCAAATATGAAGAAGACAAATATAATACTCCTCATTAGACAAAAATATTCAAATAATATCCTACTGTATCAGAAGAATATAGTTGGAATTATTTTTTTATTTCATTTAAAACACTACTATATTGGGAGTTGAATCCACATTTAGCTTAGCTTAATTTGTTCTATGTTTAGTCTCGGAATACGACTATAATTCAGATTGGTACGATTTTAGTTTGAATCTAGAATTTAATCATGTTTATTTTTCAGGAATCAACTTTTTCGTTAAAGTTTGGTCTGTTTGAATCGGTGGATTGGTTACGTTTTTGCCAGAAAATTGAAAACAATTTGAATTTTTTTGAATAGAGACGAAGAAGAAGAGGTAATAAAGCAGCTTCCTTTCTCTCTCTCTCTCTCTCTCTCTGCTTCCTTGTGTGTCTGTCTGTGTGTCATTCACATCTCTCTCCTCTCTTCTTCGCCATTAGAGGAGAAAAATATAAGTTAACTCATCCAACAACTCCATTTTTTATCTTCTTCGTAAAGGCAACAACGACGTTTACTGCAAGATACTCTTCTTCATTCTGCATTCTTTTCCAATCGATTTCAACCCCTCAAATTGGTTTCTGAGCTGCGATTGGGCTTCTGGGTTTTTGTTGGTATGCTCTCTTTCTTCATCTCTCTCTCTATGGATTGTTTCCCCATTACTGATCTATTCGAGATTTCAGATTGCAATTGCTGTTTGTTGAGATCTTAAGTTGCTTTTGCTACTAGCTGGATTTTTGTCTGTTCGTGAGTAGAAGAATTTGGATGGTCGCCCATGTAAGGGTTTCGTTTCCGCCATGAACACCAAGCGCGCCTACAAGCTCCGTATCCTTTTCTCTGATTTCATCTTTTAGGGTTTGTTTGTGAACATCATTGATTGACTCCAGTGTCATGCTTGATCTGCTCCTTTTAGCTCTCGTTCACGAGATCTGTATGCACTTCTTAGCTTTGTGTTTTGAGCTTTGTGAAGTAATTTATGACTTTTCGGTATCTGTGTGCCTCTAAATTTTAAGACTTTTTAGTCAATTTCTTCTTTGACTAGAGTCTCATCTCAGAGTATTGTTTAGCCTTGACTTGTGTGATTCAAAAAGAGGAATTTGTGGCACATTCTGCTGCTGTTAACTGTCTTAAGATTGGGAGGAAGTCCTCCAGGGTTCTCGTTACAGGCGGGGAAGATCACAAGGTCAATCTATGGGCTATTGGTAAGCCCAACGCCATCCTGGTTAGTTCTCACTTCTCCCTCCGCTGCTTCTATTTTGGAATGCCTCGGTAGATTAGTTTTAGGGGAAATGCGACACACTTTAGATATTATGTAGTAGCTCGGTTTGGAAGATTTTCTGCCTGAGTGCCTACTTGTGGCTGTTTTGTTGTCAGAGCTTGTATGGGCACTCTAGTGGGATTGATTCAGTAACGTTTGATGCTTCGGAAGGCTTAGTAGCAGCAGGAGCTGCTAGTGGTACAATTAAACTTTGGGATCTCGAGGAGGCAAAGGGTATGTTTAGTACTTCTATATATGATAATCTAAATACTCTTCTCATTTCACACTCGCCTCTTCTATTTACTGAATATGTTATTTTGGTCTTATCGGTGAGTAGTTGTCAGAACTCTCACTGGTCACAGGTCGAACTGCGTATCCGTGAATTTTCACCCTTTTGGTGAGTTTTTTGCTTCTGGTTCTCTAGACACTAATCTCAAGATATGGGATATAAGAAAGAAGGGATGCATCCATACTTACAAGGGTCACACTCGAGGGGTCAATGTACTCAGATTTACTCCAGATGGTCGTTGGATTGTATCTGGAGGAGAAGATAATGTTGTCAAGGTTTGTAGCTGCCTTTTTTCCTTTCTGAGTATGTATTTGGGAGGACAACCGGGGAGTCAACTTGATAGAATTCAAATTTTTTTATCTTCTGAGGATACTTTGAAGAACAATACCACATTTTGTTAAATAGGCATAAACTGGTGCTGAGATATGGTTGTCATCAAATAATATTTCAGAGTAGGCTCGTTATGTGTGGATGAGAGCATGCGACTATTTAATGTTACCTCTATGCGGCTGACCTTACTACCCTAGGGGAAAACTTTTGTTTAGTGCTAAATACGCTTATACTACGTGATCAACTTGGATACTTTGATTATCTGGCTTTGCTATCTCTTTGTTTCATGATTTCATCTCAGAGTTTGTACTGCTTACTGTACTTGTTATCTTGAAAAGCAAGCTACCTGCAATTTTTTGGTCTCTCTCTCTCTTATCGTTGGATCTGATATGTGGGTTGCTTTCACCAGGTTTGGGATTTGACTGCTGGAAAACTTTTGCATGAGTTTAAGAGTCATGAAGGGCAAATTCAGAGTCTAGATTTTCATCCCCATGAATTTCTGCTGGCAACAGGTCTGTATAATCCTAACTAGGGAAACTTCGTAACGTTGAAGCTCCTAAATTATCGGGTGACAGAATTATCACAATGATATGAACCCTGACTTATTTCTTAAGCTAAGAGTGCTATAAGCAAAATTGCATGGGTAACTAACCCTGACATCATTAGATCACTGTTGCATCATCGTCTCTTAGTAACTCACATTTTTACAGCTTTCTCATATGTTAAGCGTTAGGATTTGACATGAGAGAGACTTCAGTAGTGGATATTTCTTCTTATGGCATCGTTTTCCTTACTGTTCATTTAAATTATGTTTTTTTTGCCTATTGTTATAGGTTCAGCTGATAAGACTGTAAAATTCTGGGACCTCGAAACATTCGAGCTTATTGGTTCTGGTGGAACTGAGGTATCATGTATTGTCTATACTACTTCTAGTTATGCATTGAGTCGAATTACAAGTATTCGATCTTTCCTTCAACTTTCTGATATTCTTATTTCTTAGACTACTGGGGTCCGTTGCCTGACCTTTAATCCAGACGGAAAGAGTGTGCTTTGTGGATTGCAAGAAAGTCTCAAAGTAAGTTTCCGGATGTTTCAGTTAGAAATTTATGAACTTAACAAATCCCTCTTTCAAGGATATAACCCTTACCTTTACTCCTTTTCATCTTAATATACATATTTGCTGTCTTTTCTCACTAACTTCCATGCAAATTGTAGATTTTCTCATGGGAGCCAATAAGACGTCATGATGGAGTGGATGTTGGATGGTCAAACTTGTCGGATATGAATGTTCACGAGGGAAAGCTTCTCGGTTGCTCATACAATCAAAATTGTGTTGGCGTTTGGGTTGTAGACCTCTCGGTATTTCTCTCTCTCTCCCTCTACATGCTTTCTTATAGTTTTGCCTGTTCCATGTTGTTATCTCTAAGCTCTCCATTCAATTTTCTAATGACATTCTCAGCGCCCTGAGCCTATGAGTGGAGGCGCCACTCAGTCAAATTCTCATCCAGAGAAAACATCGGGCTCAGGCAGAGATCAAGCAGGTCTGAACGATAACAGCTCAAAGGTTATTCTCGGAAAGTTGCCTGGTTCCCAGAAAGTGGATCCTTTATTGAAGGAAACAAAGTCTCTTGGAAAATTATCAGTTTCTCAAAACTCGGATCCTTTGCCAAAAGAAACAAAGTCTACTGGAAGGTCATCATCATCTCAAAGTTCAGATCCTTTGGTAAAGGAACCAAAGCCTCTCGGAAGGTTGGCAGTCACTCATCATAGCTCAGACGCAGTAAAAGAGTCAAGAACCCTGTCATGTATGTTTTTACTTTGCTCTCTTTTTTCTTCTCTCTTCACTTTTTTTGTTATAGTGTTGCTGCTTACTAAATGATATCACATCTTTTGGTTTGTCTGCTGTTTGCTGAAGCCACAGGAAGTGTATCAGACTCTCCTCACAGGGTTACGTTGACCAGTGCCCCAAAAAGTGCTTCTGGTATTTCGACAGTTGTCCCCACTGCTGCAGCCTCAAAGAGAAATTTTGGAAAAGCTAACCCAAAGGCGAATCCTCCAGTAGTCAATAAAGAAGATTATTTTCCAGTAATTGTCCCCAGAACGGAGC